AGGCAAGCACGGTCTATCATGTCCCCTCTGGGACTCAGTTCCCTCAGAGGTAAAGCAGGAGGCTGGGGCTTCTGCAGAGCCAGACAGCCTCGGTTTCCCTGAGAGAGAGGCTACTGGACAACTCAGAAAAAGCTCAGAGTTTGCCCAGCCACCTGCTCACTGGCGAGAGCTGTACACATGTGTGAAAGGCTCACGTGGTGCTGCAGGGGCCTTCTCTGCCCCTGGTGGCAGAGGCGGCTCGGACAAGCTCCGGTTCACATACAAGAGAGGAGGGAGGCTGGCGCCGCGGCTCACTTGGCTAATCCTCCACCTGCGGCACCGGCACCCCGGGTTCTAGTCCCGGTCGGGGCGCTGGGTACTAGTCCCGGTTGCTCCTCTTCCAGTCCAGCTCTCTGCTGTGGCCCGGGAGGGCAGCAGAGGATGGCCCAAGTGCTTGGGCCCTGCATCCGCTTGGGAAACTGGGAGGAAGCACCCGGCTCCTGGCTTCAGATCAGCGCAGCGCTGGCCTTAGCGGCCATTAGGGAGTGAACCAACGGAAGCAAGACTTTTCTCTCTGTCTCTCTCTCACTGTCTATAACTCACTCTGTCTCTCTCTCTCATTGTCTGCCTGTTTAAAAAAAAAAAAAAAGAGAGAGAGTGAGGGAGCCACCTGCCCTGGAGCCCACAAAAAGGAGCCATGTCTCCAGGTTCAGAACATTCTGGATTATCGCACCTGCTCTGTAGCCATTTTCAGGTGGCAGTGCCAGTGAGTCGGAAGCCAGGTGAGGGGTGACTTCCGACACCCAGGGGGAAGACAGACGGGCCCTCTGGGGCTGCCCCGTGTTGGTGTCTGGTTCTGCTGGAACAGCCGCGGCCCTCGTTTCCTGGTGCAGCGCTCAGTGACGCCAGTGTACCGGGGCACTTCCCACACCTGGACGTGCACGGGGCTGCCCTGGGACGCCGCTCAGGCACGGACTCAGCCAGCCGGCCCGGGGTTTCTGGAACCCTTCAGACAACAGCCTCGCCGCTGTCAGACAACAGCCTCGCCGCTGCTCCGTGGACCACACCTTGAGTAGCCCCAGGCTCGGAGAGCTTGAAATCCTGCCTGTGGTTCTTCGTTTAAATGACCACTAGCGGAGGCATCTGAAATGCACTTTAGAAGGCTTCCTCTCTAAAATACCTGCAGTAAAAGTGGTGGCAGAGGACACTGCGGGCAAGGAGGGCAGGGGAGGGAGCTAGGACGCCCACCCTCAGAGAGGTAGTCGGGTGACTGGACTCTGCGATGGCTGCCCCGTGGGGCTCCTGCCTGGACAACACTGCACCCTCCAGGTGCCAGCCCGGGAACCCTGTCTCTTCACGCCTTTCCCCAGCCCGGGAACCCCGTCTCCTCACACCTCCCCCGGCCCTGCCAGCCTGCCAGCCTGCCAGCCTCTGTCCAGGGGTCGTTCCCCCAGCAACACGTGCTCTGCCCGGACCTGGCTCCAGCACCACCACTGTGGCCTCCACGCTGCTGCACTTCCTTAGCCTTGCATCCCTGCCCCTGCAGGCCTCTGGACACCACCCCCTCAGGAGTCCAGGATTCAGGCCCCCCAGTCGTGGTACCCCCAGCATTGCAGCTCGGTTACGTGGGGTTTTGAACCTTCTCTTGGACAGTTTGGAAGTGCACGGCCTGAGCATTCTACTGTGTGTGAACCGTTCCATCAAGACATGCTAAGACACGAAATCTCATTGTACCATTGGCTGTTCCCCCGCGTCCCCGGCGTCTGCCTTCCCGTGGGTTCCCTGTTGTCTCTCAGCTGTCCTGGGGTTCCGTGGGAAGCTCCCAAGGGCACCAAGAGCTGCAGACCAGGCCAGTGATTCTTCCCCTGGGGACATCTGGGGACCTGGCCAGTGCTGTTTCTCTCACCTTACATGTGGGGACTGCGCTGTGTATAAGCTGCAGACCACAATGGTAGCCTGTGATGACTCGGTACTTTCTGCTGTATAATCAAGTCCCACGTGCCACAAAGTACTAGGTGATGGGGTGCAAGGTGAGAGTCACTGGGATGACACGGAAGCCTCTCCCTGGGCCACAGCACCAGCTACAAGCACACTCTGCCCATCCCCCTCTCGACGCAACATGTATTAGTTAAAACACACGAAGGTGCTGGCACTGTGGTGTAGTAGGTTAAGCCTCTGCCTGCTAAGCCGTCATCCTATATGGGCTCTGGTTCATGTCCTGGCTGCTCCTCTTCTGATCTAGCTCTCTGCTTATGGTCTGGAAAAGCAGTGGAAGATGGACCAACTGCTTGGGCCCCTATACCCATGTGGGAGACCAGAAGAAGCTCCTGGCTCCTGGCTTTGGATCAGCTCAGCCCCAGCCATTGCAGCCATTTGGGGAGTGAACAGTGCATGGAAGACCTTTGTCTGTCTCTCCCTCTCTCTGTAACACTGCCCCTCAAATAAATAAATAAAATCTTAAAAGTACAGAGACGTGTGTCAGTTTGAGTGTCTGTCCTGCAGTGTAGACCAGGAGCTGGCCAGTGCGTGTGTGTGTTCATTTTCTGTAAAAGGTCAGATCATAAATATTTGAGGCTCTTAGACCGCACTGTCTGTACCACTGCTACTCGGCCCTGCAGACGTCAGGTAAACAGGGTGTGCCTGTCCCAATAAATCTTTATTGACACAAGACACCATGTTGCCTGTGGCTAGGGGCTGGCTCAGGAAGCTGTTGCTGAATTATATCCGGAGTCAGCCGCGCAGGCCTTGGGGTGCCAGGAGATGTCGTTGAGGTCACAGCTGCAGCAGAGGGCAGGGAGCATCCAGAGGTCGTGTAACCACTCCCTGTGTTGAGCTTTGGGATTGTCTCCCGCTCTTGGTGTTAATAACACGCGGTGAGCTTCTGCGTACAGCCTGTTGGCCCCAGATCCTGCAAGAAGGCGGCACTGGGTCAGGCGGCCTCCACCCTCAGATTGCGGTGCGGCGGGGTGGTGCTGGTCTGCGTTCCCAGCAGTATGACAGCAGGCGTCTGCCACGGGCAGAGAGCTTCCTTCTGCCGCGTTGTGAAGGAGCGCTGGCATCCTTGTGTATTTCCAAGTATTGGCCCGCTGCAGGTGTAGGCGAGTTGGTAGGAGCTACAATGCCTTGCGTGCTCTCCCGTGCCCGTGGGGATGGGGATGGAGGTGTTCTGTGCACCTGCGGGAGCCACCTCGGCAGCCACGTGCCTGCGGAGCTCTCCCAGGAACATGTTTCCTATCAGGGAAGTAGAACCCCCCCACACACACACACCCAGTCTGCTTGCCCTGCACCGCCCGCCCCCGGGGGTGGTCCCTGTGACACAGCTGCTTGCTGGGACCGACACGCGATTCGCTCACATCCTGCAGGAAACCTCGTGGGCGTGCGTTTGGGCACACAGCTAGGGGTGCTTTCTTGAGCCGTTTCTCTGACGATGGCTTGCGGCCAGTCCAGTTTACCTGCAGCGCATTGCAAAGCTCATTGGAGAAATACCTCTTGTCCCACAAGAGGTGGCCTGACGTCACCTGCGCAGCCACATGCGTCACGGCAACCACCCAGGCTGGGAAAGCCATGCCTCCGCCTGCCCCAGGCCCTGGCTCCTGCAGAGCGCCTCACCAGCAGGAGTGCAGTGGGCCCACCCAGGTGGGGAGGAGGAGGGTGGGGGCGGAGCAACCCTGGCGTAGGGGGCTCTGTCGCCCACCTGTCCCTGGAGCTGTCGAAAGTGCCCTGTTGGCCAACACCGTGGCTCACTAGGCTAATCCTCCACCTGTGGCGCTGGCACCCCGGGTTCTAGTCCCAGTTGCTCCTCTTCCAGTCCAGCTCTCTGCTGTGGCCCGGGAAGGCAGTGGAGGATGGCCCAGGTGCTTGGGCCCTGCACCTGCATGGGAGACCGGGAAGAAGCACCCGGCTCCTGGCTTCGGATCAGTGCAACGCACCGGCCATAGCGGCCATTAGGGGCGTGAACCAATGGAAGGAAGACCTTTCTCTCTGTCTCTCTCTCACTGTCTAACTCTGCCTGTCAAAAAATTAAATAAATAAATAAATAAAATCAAATAAAGTGCCCTGTCTGCCATGACGCCACCCGCCCTGAGCGGGGCCTGAGGATGGAAGTACTGTCGTCCCGACTTTGTTCACGCTCAAGAAAACTCATGTGCCCCGTTTATGGGAGGGCCCCCTTGGCCTTCCTGCTCTCCCCCAGGCACAGCTCACTGCTGGTTGCCGGTCGGGGAGGGGAGTGGGGGATGAGCAGCCGTGCTGGGCCCCTTCCTGGAGGGCCTCTGTGGGCATGGGCGGCTGGGTGTCAGGTGGGTGCAGGTCAGGGCTCACGGGAGTGGAGGGCACGAGGCCACTGGCCAGGGCAGGGAGTGGGCACTGAGGAGCTGTTGCTATGGGCTGGCACACTCTGGGGAGTAGGAAGCAAGAGTGGTGCCTGCAGAGAGTGTGTCAGTCAGAAACGTGGACAGCAGCCAGGAAATCCAGGCCCTTTTGATGCCTGGGCACACTGTGGGCAGCACACACCTCAGCAGCTCTCGTCCAGCTGTTGGCGTTTCTGGTCCTTGCGCCGTCTTCCCCTCCTCCTGCCTGGGGAAGGGCTGAGGGGGTCGCCGTGCTCCTCCAGAGCCACGTGTACCCACGGAGACTCAGAGGCCAAACAGTGCTCTGTGATGGAATTAGCATCCGCACTTTAGGACAGAAGACAAGAGACGGAGCCTGACTTCCAGTGCAGGACGTTCTGGCTTTGCCGGGCAGTGCCACCGCCCAGGATACAGAAACACATCTGTAGCCTCAGTTCCTCCCTGTTCTTTCTCCTGAGCTTGGACCATCCCCGAACACGGGCCCCCACCCCACCCAGTCCTGCCCAGCACAGGTGCTCCGCGGAAGGGAGTCAGACCTTGCTCACCGGTGGGTGGGTGGGAGGCAGGGGGCAGGGGCAGCCTAAGCCTGCCAGCAGGTTCCCTGCAGAACCTTCTCCCTCCTGCCCTGCACCTCTGATCTGGGCTACAAGGGTCTCTCCTGCCTCCCTACAGAGCATCGGCTGTGACGACTTCCTGGACTCCGACAAGGTGGTGGACAAATGTGGGGTGTGCGGCGGAGACAACTCGGGCTGCCAGGTGGTGTCTGGTGTGTTCAAGCGGCCGCTCACCAGCCTGGGCTACCACCGCGTGCTGGAGATTCCGCAGGGAGCCACGAAAATCAACATCACCGAGATGCACAAGAGCAACAACTACCTGGGTAAGGGGCCTCCCCTGCAGCACGGGCGGCGGGCGCGTGGTGGAGACGGTTACGCAGATAAGTCTTGCAGCTTAGTGCTTGATAGCCACACGCCTCAACCTGTCTTTGCTCCACCTGAGAGAAGAGAGCTGTGATGTAAGTGGTGGCTCTGAGATGGGAGTGGCTCTGGGCAAAGCCGGGACACGCACCCGTCTCTGTTTGTTGGGATGAAGATGGCCAGGGAAAGGGCAGTGACCCATCTGCACCTGCACGCGCCCTGCAGTCCACCCAGCAGCCATTCGTCTCTTGCTGCTCCGGCTGCCGTGGGGCAGGGCTCTGCCTGCATAGCAGGTGTGCTTTCGGAGAGCTGCACCCACTTGGCAGTCCTCTGGAGCAGTGTCCACAGCGAGAGGCCATGTTGCCCTCCTGGGGATCTCCGTCGACTGTGTGCATTCCATCTGAGGCGAGCCAGTCCCGTGATGAGTCAGTTGTACTATGTCGCTCTCAGACTCAGCGTAACGCCTGTGCTAATCTGTTAACAAAGTAGCATGAGGGGCTGTTGCTTAGTCATTCATAAGCAGCCAGATTGGATTTTCTTATCTTAGACTGACAGTGTCCCTTCTGCTCTTAACGGTGCACTTGTGTCCTTGAACCCACACAACAGCCCTGGGGCATGAGAGCCGCTCCCCTCCCCACCCTGCAGCTGGCCAGACGGGCACAGAGAGGGCACTCGGCTTGCCACGGTCACACAGGAAGGCAGATAGTGCAGCTCCAGGCACGGCAGCCAATCAGAGCGGACATCACCTCTCAGAGCCCAGTCCCTCTGGGTCACTGTTGGCCACACAGCCATCAAGGGCTACAGGAGCACCCCCCTGGGAGATGGCTTCAGACCCCGAGGGCCCCCGTTCTGCATCTCTGCCTGCTACGGTTCCCTTCCCTGGGTTTCGTTGGGCCAGAGGAGGAAGAGACGGCAAATGCAGCTGAGAGACAAACCCATTTACAGCAGAAAACGGTTTAGCAGCTCTGGCAGAGCCAGGGGCCACCCGAGCAGCAGGAAGCCAGTCCCCACTGAGTTGTGGTTCCGTGTTATTTTCACTAGAAAAGAAAAAAAAAAAACAGCAGCCTCTGTGCTTCCTCCTTTCCTTTCTCCTCTGTGAGATCACATCTCCACAAGCGCACTGGCTCCCAGGACCCAAAACGATGTATTTGCAGCGTGCTCCTGCGGAGACCCCGCCGCTGCCGGCAGCGCCAGTCTTCACCAGCTCTGCTGTGTTTGTAGTCAGCTTTCCCCGGCTGCGGATCGCCCTGTTCCATAGCAGCTCCCGCCCTCTGCCTCCCACGCGTAACACGGAGGTGGTGGCCCAGGCCCCGCTGTGTCGTTGGGCAGGCGGCTTCTTGTGGGGGGGACCTGACCATATCAGAGGTCATGAGAAGCCATAGGATGGCAGATCCACACCTGGAGGAAGATGGCCCTCTCCTTCTCCATGTGACGGAGAGGACACGGAGGGAGGACAGGAGCTACGGGAGGGGCTCAGAAAGTCCGGTTCGTGTGAGGCTTCATCAAGGCCAGGGCGGTCCCAGCACGGGCAGGGGAAAGCAAGGGTGGGAAAGCAGGCTAGGGTGCAGGGAGGCTCCCCGAGAGATCTCCATGGCTTTGTCTCCTGCGTGTAAGCCACCCGCGATCTGCTTATTATACCCAAGATACAGGTCACAGACCGTAAGATCCAGCCTCCTGCAGTGTGCCCTGGCCGGGAGTGACCTTGGTCTTGTCCCAGGTGGTCTCTCTGCCTGACCCACTCTGGCTGCTGAGTGCCCTGCTCTGTGAGGCCTGTGTATTCTGAAAATTAATTTACATGCAGTTGCTGGGGGGAGCTGTGCCAAGGTGTGAGAGCACAGGTGCCTCGGGCTGCTTTTGAACTTGGCCTTTGTTCCTTTGTATTTGACTCTCTGGGCAAGGAAAGGGGCTCACCGTGTGACCTCTGAGCAAAGCTGCAGACAGGGTGACCTTCAGGGGGGGCACCTGTTCCAGGAGTGCCTAAGATTGCGTGGGATGTTGATTCGTCTGGTTTTTAGGTTGGAAACTAACGAAACTGCAGAAGCCAGCTCGGGGTGTCTGTTCCTTTAACTGTGTTTGCATACGTAGACTGATGAGTGGGTCCTAGCTTCCTAGGGCTCTTTTCTTTAGTGGAAAAGATATTAGAAGCCCTGTCTCTTTTGTAAGCTCTGAATTCTCCATTCATGTGTAAATTATTCTGATCCGCACTACCTGGGGGGAAACCTCCATCTAATTTCATTAAATTGACTGACAGTTCTTATTACTTGCTTTTTCCTTAACAGTAAGATGTTGTGAAATTGTTTGGGTTGAAATATCAAAATCTGGCACAGCTGAGGCAGTTCGGTTTGCTGATGTCCTTGTGCTGCAGTTAAGAAATCAGACATAAAAGCACACCAAGCAGAAGTCAACTGTGGGGACCTGTGCTGCCTGCCAGCACGCTGCATTGTCTGGGGCCGGAGACTTGGAGAGGACTTCCAAGATCTGCAAGCTTTTAAAAATGAACTGGCGATGCATTTTCTGACAAGCGTGTTTCCAAGAAAGCTTTAAACAATAATAAGGATCAGTGTTTAGGAAGCCAAGGAGAGTCACGGCTCATGCACCCTGGTAGACTTTGATGGAGTGCTGGGGCCGCTTTCCCTGTGGGAGAGCTTAAGTCACCTGGCGCCTTCCTTTTGTGTGACAGTTCCAGAAATTTTATTTTCCGCGCACATGGAAATTTTTTTTTTTTAAAGATGTGTTTATTTATTTGAAAGGCAGAGTTACAGAGAGACAGGAAGAGACAGAGAGAGAGCTTCCATCTGCTGGTTCACTTCCAAATGGCTGCAATGGCCAGAGCTGGGCCAGGCAGAAGCCAGGAGCTTCATGTATGTGGGTCTTCCACGTGGGTGGAGGGGCCCAAGCACTTGGGCCATCGTCCACTGCTTTTCCCAGGCCATTCGCAGGGAGCTGGATCTAAAGTGGAGCAGCCAGGACTCGAACTGGCACCCACATGGAAACCAGCATCAAAGGTGGCAGCTTTGCCCGCCACACCACAACATGGACCCCAGCATTGTAAAACTTTTAAGCAATACAAATTAGAACAAAGAGATTCAGTGCTTTGTTCATGATCAACTGCTTTGAAATGTGAACACAGAGTTAAGTAACAACTTCTACAACCATGAAGTATTCTCCAGTCTTTTCTAAAAGTGCAAATATTTTCTTAAAAAAAAAAAGATTCGTTTACTCAAAAGGCACAATAACAGAGAGGGAGAGATCTTCTGTCCACTGCTTCACTCCCAGCCAGAGCTGGACCAGGCTGAAGTCAGGAGCCCAGAACTCCATCCAGATCTCCCACGTGGGTGGCAGGGACCCAAATACTTGAGCCAGCGCCTGCTGCCTCTCAGGGTGTGCATCAGCAGGAAGCCAGATCAGAAGCAGAGGGGCTGGGCACTCATCTGGGATGCAGGGTTTCCACAGTGACTTCTTAACACTGTGCCAAACATCGCCTCTGCTTATTTTAAACTCGATATTAGGTCCGTCTGTTATTACTTATGTGTGGCATGAGGTAGGACTGTAACCTGATTTTTTTTCAAATAGGCACAATTGTGCTGATGCAGGGTATTATACTTCCCCCACTATTTTTTTTTAGTGTTCAATTTTTTTGTTTTTTTCCCAAATGAATATTTTATTTAAGAAGTACAGAAGTACAGATTTCATAAGTACAACTTTAGGAATATAGTGATTCTTCCCACCATACTCACCCTGCCACTCCTACTCCCACCCTACCACATCTTCCCTCTCCCATTCCCAGTCCCATTTTCGATTAATATTCATTTTTAATTAACTTTATACACAGAAGACCAACTCTATGCTAAGTAAAGATTTCAGCAATTTACATACACACACACACACACACACAAAGAAAAAACCTGTTTGAAAACAAGTTTTACAGTTAATTCTCATAATACAAGTCATTGAGGATAGAAGTCCTGCATGGGGAGTAAGTGCACAGTGACTCCTGCTGTTAATTTAACAATTAACACTCTTATGTATGATGTCAGTGATCACCCGAGGCTCTTGTCATGAGCTGCCCAGGCTATGGAAGCCTTTCGAATCCACAGACTCTGTCAGTATGTAGACAAGGCCATAAGCAAAGTGGAAGTTCTCTCCTCTCTTCAGAGAAAGGTGCCTCCTTCTTTGATGGCCACTTCTTTCCACTGGGGTCTCACTCACAGAGATCCTTCATATAGGATTTTTTTTTCCACAGTGTCTTACCTTTCCATGCCTGAAATGCTATCATGGGCTTTTCAGGCAGATCAGAATGCCTTAAGGGCTGATTCTGAGGTCAAAGTGTTACTGAAGGCAATTGTCATTCTAGGAGTCTACTGTGTAGACTGCTTCCCATATTGGAACATTCTCTCCTTTTTAATTCTATTATTGTTGCCAGATACTTGACCTTATTTATATGATCCCTTTAACACTTAATCATATCTATATGATCACTTTAACACTTAAGATGGCATTTTTACCACCCAACTTAATGGGATTTGGTATTCTAGCAAGTTTTTAAACTGTACCCTGGGAAGTAAGTCCATAGGACTGTATGCAGAACTATACAGCTCTACAGTTACAAACTTCCTCCTCCGTCTCTTATTCCCACTCTTATTTTTTTTTTATTTTCACTACCATATAGAATTGCATCATATGAATATACTGCAGTGTGTTTATCCATTCTTTTGTGATGGACATGCATGTTGTTTCCATCACAAAAGTGTTTCAATGAATGTCTTTTGTATCTGTCTTCTTGGGGACATAGATGAGAGAATTTCTCTGGAGTTCTTCATCTTCAATTAAGTATTTTTAGATAGAGTTTAAAAATTGTGCCTGTGATTTCTTTTTCACAAGCAAAGGAACTATGGCTCATCAGTTCCAATGTCTTCAATATCAATATTGTTTGTGACTTTCTAAACATTTGCGGTGAAACTCT